AGGCAATTAAGCTGCAGTGAAGTGATGTTGTTAGCTGCTGCGCTGTACCATCTGTGCTTTGTCATACAAGTACAGTCATAAACCTAGTTGTTATTTGAAGTATTATACGGTCAAGTACCTTGTTTGGATTTGAAATGTTGTCCAGTGACCGTTGGATTGATTGCATGGACACTGGTATCTGGTTCCTTGGGACATTAGTTATACAACTACTGATTTGAAAAACACTTTTTTTTTGTATTGTAGTGCAGTATAAGTATGATGTAGCATAGAATGGAAATACTCAAGTAAAGTACAAGTACCTCAAAAATGCACTTAAACACAGCACTTGATATAAGTGCTGTATCCTTCCTTACATAAAAATGGAGGCGAATTACAGAAAAGGGCCTTGGTGCTGAGCAGCACATTACAATGCAGAACACATAAGTAGGCAAGATGAATGTCACTGTGCTGGCCTGTTTGACAAACACACTCCTCTCTGGATATTCTCTCATCCTCCCACTGATCAATTACCAACACTGCTGAGATCCACAGTGAGTGCTGCTGCTTCTGTGTGTATCTGCCAGTGTGAATCTGAAGGACATTTTTGAAGGCTTTGCACATTAAAAACATCTCTGAAGTGAGGGTTTTAGTCTACAAAAAAAATACAGATTCAGCTCTTTAATGATCTTAATAAGAAGCTTGTAATGGCCATATGGTCATCGAAATGCGACCATAGAGATCAGACACGACTAAAAACAACAGAAACTTGTATGTATGCGAGTGTGTGTGAGACGCGTTGCCAAACGGACAGCAGGGCCGAGAGAGAGAGTGTATGATGAGGAAGCGTGAAGAGTGAGCAGAGGGAATGTGTGCCTATTCATCTCCTCTCTGGGAGCAGGCAGGTACAGAGGTATGGCAGCCTTACAAGGTCAATATTTTACTTTGGCTTGTGCTCGCTAATTAAATTACAGGCAAAGTGCCCCAGGAGAGCACACAGAGAGATACAAGCCCCCCCCTCAGCTCTGCAAGCCAAACAATTTGTAGCATGAGCTGAGACGTTGGCGTGTTTAGTCATCGCTATACACGGACGATTTGTAGTACTTTCAACTTTTTTTAAGTAGATCAGGGGTGTATCAAGGTACAACAGAGCAGCTGGGATGGAATTTGAGTTCTTTCTTTGTAAATAATCTCTCCCTGGCAAATTTTAAATAGTAAAATGAATCAGAGAAGTTCACAAACCTTGAAAAATACCCAACTTTTGTCTGTTTGCCATGTTATTTGACCTTGACCAACATGTGTGTCATGCAACATACAGTTATAGCCTATGCATGTCAACACATGTTTGTCTTCAAATGGAGTATGAAGCTCAGACAGCAGCTGTTAATGAGCATGACTGATGTAAAAAAAAAAGTCTTTGTTTATAGCAGGGCCTGAGGGGGGGAGGGACATGAAGAAATGACAGCCTGTCAGACTGATCGTCACTAATAAGAGCGGCAATGTCACAAATCCACACACTGTGGAATAATATCAGAACAAGTTTGTATTAAACTGTGAAAATGAAATCAGAACGATCAGTGGTGTCAAGTAACTAAGTACATTTACTTAAGTACTGTACTTTTTGAGAGACTTGTACTTTAAATGAGTATTTCAATGTTCAGCTACAATACAGAGGTAAATTGTACTCCACTACATTTATTTGAACATTGAGTTACTTTGCAGATTTGGATTATTAATTTGAAATATAATCAACACTTAAATCAGACTTTAGTTACCTGGAGTAAATTCACAAGCTACCCTGCAGTATACAAAGTCATTAAAACTAGCTGCACCTTTACCAGCTTTGATAACACTAACTAATCAACTAATCAATGTATATAATATATATTATTCTGAAATGGGCCAATCTGCATAATGAATATTTTGTGACTAATTTGTACTTTTATTTGAGTTACATTTTGAATGCAGGACTTTTACTTGTAACAGAGTATTCCTACACTCTGGTACTTCTACTTTGCCTGCAGTACAATATCTGAGTACTTCTTCCAACTCCGACAACAACAGAGCCTTTTCACAAAACTATAAAGTCAATCTTAATGTATATATAATACCTTGCTTTATATCTTGTTATTGTTCATTTGTAAATTCAACATATTTTCTACTTTCTTGCTTATTTCTTGTCTTTACATTTTTATTGTACAATGCCATGTCTTTTTATGCTGCTGCTGCAACACAACAATTTCACATATTGGGATCAATAAAGTACTATCTTATCTCTCTTATCATAAAAAAAAATTGTTGGCACACGTTAGAATGAATCAGCTCTCCCATTGGCTGAGCGCACCAGGAAGTCCAGGCTGTTGCTGTCATCTGACTGTGACGCAGGCGCTTCCCGAAAGTCAACACACAGCAACAACATGGCTCCCAAACTTCAACTTCCCCACGGTGCAGCGATCACCGGGCTGCTCGTGCTCTCCCTGGTGCCCCCGGCGGAGGCTTACGACGCAGGGGACGCTTTAGCCCTGCTCGTGTGCTCCATCCTCATCGGGGTGGGCTTCTGCGCCTTCCTCGGCTGGTACGCACGGAGGCGGAACGCGCAGCTGTGAGCGAGAGACTCTTCGTGATCGTGCGCCTGTCCTGTCCTGTTATCATCCTCCGCAATACTGCATAGCTCTTTCTAATCCACTGTGCACCTTCTGGCACTGAGATTTGTGTCGGATCGGCTGATAAGAAACGTGCCTTATTGGGATTAATGCGTCAAAGGGGACCACGTGTTGCAGAAGCTGGATCCAGGAAGTCCAAAGAAAAACTGCTACTGTTGCTCTGCTGAGATTAAAGACCAAACACTGTTGCCTTCTTTATGGACATACTTGCTACTGTATGTTATCCTATGATGATTATGCTTGCATTGCTTATTGTGTCCATGCTTGGATGGATCACTGTGATTTCCTGATGGGTCTGCAATGTTCAACACAACATTGCTATTGTTTTAAAGCACAATATCACAAGTGTGGTTAAAGAAAGGAGCTGTTGTTGCTGTTTCTGCTGTTACAATATGCATCAATAGCTGTGAGAATAATAAATTGATTCTCTCCACAACTCATGTCTGCAGGATATTTTTGAATGTTTGCTTTGTAATTACATAACTCCACTCTTCTTTCATTCACAAAAGTGAGTGTACTATGGGTTTTAGAGATGGAGAAATGTATACTTATAATACAATTCACTGTAACACTTGTTTCTAAATTAACTTTACATGTTGGCCTGTAGTTTCTGTTGCGTACAGTCAGAGTTGGCATATATAATGTTTTATTATTCTTGGTAAAACACTACATTTAGAATTAAAGTCCTGCATATAAAACCCTTATTTTCAAAAGGCAAAGAATAATAAGCACATTTCTTTCCATAAAGTTAAATAACTCCTCCTGAGGCTGTAAATGTTCCTCAGTGACATTATTATATTGTTATTGCTGTTTCAAACTGTGCAAATAATTTGACGTTTGCTGTTAAAGTATCTCATTAACCATACATAAAAAATACATTTGATTAGAAATATAATTAATTATACCTTAAAAGTAGAACTTAGGTACAGCATTTGAGTAAATACACTTAATACAAATATAATGGCTTTACTCGTAAGAAACCACTATGTTCTCGCTAGAAAACCTAAAGTGGTGATCAACTTTATCAAACTTGTGTAGCTGATTATTTAAAGTCATTATTCATCCTTGGGATGATGCATCATAATGTCTGTGCCAAATGAGTGATTGTTCACTAGAGAATATTGGGATATGCAGAAAATCGTTAAGGCCTTCACATTAATTCATCTTTGTCTGGACGGTAATTCCCTAACAAAGTTGCATTTGGCGTACATTAATCATTCAGAGTCTACTGTATCCCCTGTCTACAACCCACTGTCTGCATTCATTATCAATAAGTGATAACTGGTGAGCTATAGGATTGAAAAGGAGCAAACTACATGTGGTAACTAAGTGGAATCCTTTTTTATCATAAAAAATTGAAATCTGCATATTTCCCCCCCAGTATGTCACACAGCACTGACACATTTCCAACATGTATGATCATAAAAAAATCATGTTTCATAGCCCAGTTGGAGACAAAGCATTGTTACTGTGTGTGTGTACATGTGGCTGGTTGAATCATTGTTCACTTGTTAAGCTGCTCATGACATCACAGCTCTACATACATGGTTGAGAAATCAAATCCTATTCATTTATCATGCTGCCCGGGCAGGATGAACAACGGTGCGCAAAAGTGCCTGTCAATTATGCATGTACAGTACAGGGGAAGTCATTCTACCTCGAGGTGACTAGGCTGCCTGATTTAACCCTTCGCTTCGTACATAATGCTTCGACATTTCTGTAGAGTGAACATGATGACAGGCAGACAAATGTATTCAAGTAGGATGCTATTACCTAATGGATATGGCAAACACCCTGTAAAAAGGTCAGAAACATTGAATTAATCATAAAATATACAAAGAACTAAACATCGTTCTGTGTAATACTCTTTTTGTTGACAAACCACTGATTTAAATCTATGAAATTGAGAAATATGTCTATTTTAGCAAGTGTCAGTAAAAAGTAATCACGTCATCAGGTGATAATGTAACGCGTTACAGTACCCTAAGAGCAGATGTTACCGTGAGAGAGAGAGAGAGAGAGAGAGAGAGAGAGGGGAGCTGCTGCTGCTGCAACAAGAGACAAGACGCGTCTTGGATCACAAATAGGGATGCAGGGCGCATGCGCACTGGGCTCCGTTTACTGTAGGATATTCACCGAGGAGGAAAAAAAGGGGGCAGGCAACAAACCAGGCTTATTAAAAAAAAAAACAGCAAAAACCCGACTGGTGCAATGTAAATAACCGGCAGGAGGGACACGAAATCGGATTTTCAACAGGTAGGATTTTGATTGATCTTGTGATCGGATGTCTGTCTCTCTCTCTATTTCTCCCTCGCGCTCTATCCGTTTTTTTTGGCCTTGTCTTGTGTGGTGGCTGCGATTCTGGGCAATCCATAGCGCGGACTTGGGAATGATTATAGTCTAATGGAGGTACGGATTCGGTGATGCTTTATCCAGCCGAGTTGGACGCAAAGGACGATGATTTTACCCTGCTTTTTTGTTTTTTCACTGAAATCCCTCGGATTCAGACGCGCGTAAACGATATAAGGACGCTTTAAAACGCGTAAGTAGACCCCAAACGGCGATATTTATGTAATCAGATGTAACCATAGCCTGTGTCATTTCATAAAAACAATGAAAGCATTGTAGCAAATCACGGAATATTATTATCAGCAGGCTTGTTATTATCGCTACCAAGCGATCCGTTTCAATCCATCCTGACTGGTAATCACACCCGCGCACTCTCAAGCCAAATGATGTCGAAATGCGGCTTTAGTGTCTCTGAATGTAAATGCTACTCTTTGTAATTACTTGTATAAAAGATGATGAGGAAAATTGACTGGCTCAATAAACGCCCTAATGAGAACACTGCTTATTAACGTGAGGACAGTAATCCAGTGAAGCTTTAATCAAGACAAAAACACGGATGCTTTATTATGTATGCACCTTCCGTCGATTTTCCACCATGCACGAAGGCTGGGCGAGTTTATTCGAGGCACCCACCGCTTTAGAGAGCCGTCCTCTGTTCTGCAGAGTGTAGGGTGTGATCAAGAATAGCTTATTTTGGACTGCATTTCTCTTAATGTTTCACCGTGCGCACGAAAAATGTCCCTAAAATGACATATCCAAACCGAGGATTTTTTTTCTCCAACCAGTTAAGAAGCGTCGTTTCTTAATGAAGTCTGGGCTATGCCATCTTTTGTTCAGGAAATTCCGAAGCCACTTGAAAGAATTGTAACAGATTCATAGTCTGCTCAAGCTCCATCACTGTCTGTCTGTCTGTGTTTGACAAAGTATTCAAGCTGAGGCAAAGCTCTGTAAATCTAGACATGTTAACCAAAAAAACACAAAAATGGCATGCAGAGAGAAATAAGTGCTTATCACAGTGTGCAGTTGAAAACAATGCAGCTGTTGTGTTGGACTGTGTGCTGATGGGTGGATGATATTTTTTCAGGGATTTCTTTTGTATTTCTTTTTAGGTGTGATGAGACAAAGGAACAAAGGATGCCTTAGAGGAGAGGTTGCCTATATGCCTGGAAACCTCTTCAAAGCACACCACCAAATGGATATAACGCCTCCCCCTGCCACCTCTAGATCATGATACTTGGCTGAAGCTATTCCACTATCTTTATGATCCCTCCTCCATCTATGGCGAACTATAGCCATGCAGGGGACCACACCATCTTGCAGAATGTCTCTCCTCTCGCCACGTTCCTCAAACTGACCTCTCTGGGTTTCATCATTGGAGTCGGTGTGGTTGGAAACCTCCTGATCTCCATCCTGCTGGTCAAAGACAAGAGCCTGCATCGGGCGCCCTACTATTTCCTGCTGGACCTGTGCGCCTCTGACATCCTGCGCTCCGCCATCTGCTTCCCCTTTGTCTTCACCTCGGTCAAGAATGGATCGGCCTGGACCTACGGCACGCTGACCTGCAAAGTGATCGCCTTCCTGGGTGTCCTCTCCTGTTTCCACACGGCGTTTATGCTCTTCTGTGTCAGCGTCACACGCTACCTTGCCATCGCGCACCACCGTTTCTACACCAAGAGGCTGACCTTCTGGACCTGTCTGGCTGTCATCTGCATGGTGTGGACGTTGTCAGTGGCTATGGCGTTCCCGCCGGTGCTAGACGTAGGGACATACTCTTTTATCCGGGAGGAGGACCAGTGCACGTTCCAGCACCGTTCCTTCAGGGCGAACGACTCGCTGGGCTTCATGCTCCTGCTGGCGCTCATCCTCCTGGCCACACAGCTGGTTTACCTCAAGCTCATCTTCTTCGTGCATGACCGTCGGAAGATGAAGCCTGTCCAGTTCGTGCCTGCTGTCAGCCAGAACTGGACCTTCCACGGGCCTGGCGCCAGCGGGCAGGCGGCGGCCAACTGGCTGGCCGGATTCGGTCGAGGCCCCACCCCCCCTACCCTGCTGGGCATCCGGCAGAACAGCAACGCAGCAGGCCGCAGGCGTCTACTGGTATTGGATGAATTCAAAACAGAGAAGAGGATTAGTAGGATGTTCTACATCATGACGTTTTTCTTCCTGGCACTGTGGGGACCCTATCTGGTCGCCTGCTACTGGCGGGTGTTTGCGAGGGGCCCAGTGGTCCCTGGGGGCTACCTGACGGCGGCCGTGTGGATGAGCTTCGCCCAGGCCGGGGTCAATCCCTTCATCTGCATCTTCTCCAACAGGGAGCTCCGGCGCTGCTTCAGCACCACACTCCTTTACTGCAGAAAATCCAGGTTACCAAGGGAACCCTACTGCGTTATATGAAGGTTTTGCTGTTTTTTTCTCATCTTTGTCTCTAATTCCCTGATTGATCTTGATATGGGCTTGTTCCCATTGTACAGCGCACTCTCTCTTCTATCTCTCTTCCCTTCATCCTCCAGTTTTCCCTCCTGTCCCTCCTTCTCCTAACCCTTGTTTTCAGAGGTAGAAGGTTGGACTGTCAATCACGAGGCTCTGCCAGGATGATTGAATACGATCAAACACGGAGGCTGGAGGTAGTGGGAATACGCAGGAGGTCTGGATCCCCCCTCCTGTGTTTATGTTCTAGTAAACGGACATTGTGGAAGGCCATGCCAATGCAGAGATGCAAAAAGTTGAAAAAAAAGAAAAAATAATTGACAAAACACTCAAAACAAACCCTCTTGCTTTGGATATTTTGAAGATTCTGTGAGGTGTGAAATACGTAAAAATGAAAAGAAAAAAGAACAAAAAACTAAGATATGATACCTCTCGAGGAATCACTGGAAATGTTCTACATTTTTAAGAGTTGCACTAAAAAGAAGATGTAAAGATGCTTTTTTTGGTCAACTGTTGCCGGTTGCATTGCAAGGACAACTTTTCTCTTTTTTCCAAACGAGACAATGAATGCTTTAATTTGCAACAGACTACACAACCGCTGTAAGTAAAGCAAAACTTGGTGACTGTTGGAATACACCATCACAAGAGGATAAAATGGTTTTAATGTAAGTGATATCTTTTTCATTTACAGGGCGGCGGGGGTGGGGGGCGGGGGCTTAACGGTGGGGATTTACAAATCTGTGGTTTTTGAAGTTGCAACTTAAAACTAGAAATAATTTCTTGTAGTTTTACGATCCATATGTCCCTAGTGTCTGGCATTGTTATTTTTTTCTTATCACCTTTTTGCAAAAAAAATGAAAAGAACATGAAATGGTGTTTGGATTTTGAAAAAAATTGTTGCTTTTACGAACAAATGTGTGCTCAAAAAAGACATTGAAGAAAAAAGTTAAATGTGTCATCATATCCATGTACCTAAACACTATCATATTGTTACAGTATTGCCGATGCCACTCCGGGTGTTCTTGCCTTAATGGTTATGATATTGTCACGTTTCTTGGTTGTTGGGATTTTATTTATTTATTTTTATTTAATTCACTCCTAAAAAGCTGTTGTTTTTTTTAGATGCGAGGGGAGGTTTGTTCACATCAATGTGAAGTGCATGTCCATTTTTTAAAAAGCTGGTCCACTCCCATGAGCATCACAGGCCATACACTGAGCAGCCCATTTTTATTCTGCAATGGTTTGCTACACCCCACAGAGTGCTCAGAGCACAGGGTGTGTGTGTGTGGGTGTGTGTGTGTGTGTGTGTGTGTGTGTGTGGGTGCATGTGCGTGTGTTTCAGAGTGTATGTGCTGTGTGAATCAAACAACAGTCACTTCAAGACCAGAGCCTTAGTATGAAATCTTGCACAATTTGTAAAAAATGTAAAACAAAAAAAAACCCACAAAAAAATACATTTAAGGCACACCGTCTTGTTTCTACTTTCCCTACATTTGCTCTCTAAACTGATTGTTTTCAATGACTTACTTTCTTCTCTTGTGGCCATTTTAATATTTATTATGTATTCTTTTTTTGTATATTATAGATAGATGTGTGTGTAAGTATGTGAGTCTTTCATTTTTGAAGTCCCGAATGTGAGTACAGTTTCAGTTAGGATTGCATTTGCTGAAAGTTAACTGTGTAATCTGTTGCTTTTTGAAAATAAAAAGTTTCCATTTTACAACATTTGTTTTTTTATCCCTCTCATTGGGTTAAGGTCATTCTGTATGGTCATGCTAACAGCTGGAAAACATCTGCAAAACTCTTTGAGAATAGGGGCATCCACGGAAGTGTTTTAAAAAGGCTGCTTATGATGCATTTTTCATCTTCCTGCATGTCAAAAATGTCTCTCAAATGTCCTTAAATGATTACATTTTGATTGCTAAATATTGTAAAACCACTGCTGAAATGCCCATATTTTGAACCTAAGCTACTAATGGAGGTTGGTATTGCTTCAAGGTTTCCTGTGTCATTTGTGATAACGCTCTCTTCTGTGTGAAATGTGATAAAATGTTTAAATGTGTCCTATTTCGAAGATAATCGTATCTGTCATTTGAGTCGTTGGAACAGCTTGTAGAGACGGAATATATGCAATCCTTGTCATTGAATGTGAATTGTGTTTGACATTTCTTGGGAATAATCTCCATGAATATGCACATATCCTTGGGCACAGTCACACTTCTTCATTCTGTGTTAAAGGGGAATACCACTGAATTTCAGATATAATATATGTGACTCCCATATGGAATAATGGCAGAGCACTCTGGATTAATGAATACCCTTGCACTGAGCCCCATAGCCACAAATGACATGGTGGTTTGTCCCATTCCCTTTTTTAAGGTCACATTGGTGTTCAGCTGCACTGAACAAGAATTGGGAAAATGTGGAAATGAGAAGCATGGAAATATGGACAATTGAAGTCCAATTTCTCAGATGCATATTCCCTTTAAAGAGTACATATAATGTTCATTTTCAGGTTCATATATGTATTTTGTGTGTGTACTGTGACATGTCTCCATGCCTTAATTTTCAAAAAGGTCTTTCTTTTTTTCATACTGCCTGTGCTGCAGCACCTCTTTTCACCCTCTGTCTGAAACCAGAGCCCAGTCTGCTCTGATTGGCTATTTAGCGGGACATCTTTAAACTGTTGACCAATCACGTAAAATGTTATGGAGCGCAAGCCAATAGTACTTTGGATTTTAGCCTTTGCAGACTTTTTACATTCACAAAAACCAATATAACACTTCAGGAAAGGAAAAAAAACCCAAAAGCACAATAGGGCCCTTAAAAATAATAATAATAATAATAAATGTGCCGCCTAAAATGCCTCAAATGACACATTTATAAAAAAATTGTCAATATTCATGCTTTATTTATTTTCACAAGGATAACGTTTTACATCTGTTCCCTTCGGTAAAAAGGGGAATACAAAAATCCATCAGTGCCCCTATCATTAAACAAAAAATGTATTAAACCCATGATCATAAATACCACAAGATCAAAACATGCTTATTCTTAAATTGAGTGGTATTTTCCAGTATGAACAGTACAAAGCTCATATGTGCATCAGAACTGTATAATACAAGATTTGTGACTGCCATTTTTATATGATTTAAAATCATTGTAGCTCATTGCTTTTTAACCAAAATGTGCTCCATTGTCCTATTGTATCCCCTCCTAACATAAGAAATCAGTCAATTAAGTAATCACTTGGCTTAAGTGCCTGAAAACACAACAAATATGATGCTGCAATGGCTTGTAAACACTCCAGGTAATGGCATGCAGGTTCTGCTGATGAGAAAGATCTGTTAGGGATCCATTTTCATTACGATGTTGGCAATTACTGTTTTATTTTGGACATTAATCATTCTAATTTGGACCCAGAAGAGCCAATTCAGATGTTGTGAAAGTATTTATTGACATTTAAGGAAATCAGGAAATGTTATTGGTTTGGTTTTTAATACTTTTTTTTCCATTATTCTATCATAAAATCTGTACTGTGTTTTGTGAGATTGATTCAAGGGGCAGTTGATGAAAAAAATGACATTTTGTGGGATTCAATCTCTATACTGGGACTAAAACTGTGCTACTTGAGTGTGAAGCAGGAATTAATACCTCACTTGTGTATATTTTAGCCTCATTTAGCATATGCAAATCACAAACTGTCACTGTCAAGCACTGGCCCATTTCCTCGTATGTTCATTTGCGTGCCCCAGTAATTCTGTTACTCTCCACGTCTGAGGGAAGATGACAGGCAGAGGTGGTCGTCTTTAAAGCTCTTCGTTCTGGCAGACAAGCTTTTACATTGAACCCTCTTTTCCCCTCGGAGGTAGAACGTCTCCTGAGAAACATGGAGAAGCATATTGTTCATAATCAAAGCGATTAGGAATCTGTAGTCTGCTGCACCAGCTGACTCACTGGAATTGCTTCTTTGCACTTGTGTTCAGATCATGGAAAAAAGCTAAATAGGATCATTTTTAGTGAAGCAATTACTGGAGATACTTTTCAGTTAACGATCAGAAGACTTCTCTATTGGATTTTGGCTGCCAATGAATAACATAACAACCCTTAATTCCATGTCACTCTCATTGTATCTCAGCGGATTTGCACACACAATATCCGTTTTTTAATGGACTGCCAATGGGTTCTGAAAAAAAAAAAGCATCTCACCGTACCCCTCATTTGCTGTCTATAATTTGAGTAAATACCATCTGTTGACTGGCTTTTTTTCTCAAAATCTAATATGAAGCCTTTCTGCATTCTTAAGCATTTTATATTTAATGTATACAATGTACGTCAAAGCTTAATTAAAGTGCGGTATGGGCCTGTGCCGAGAAGCACTCAAATATGAAAATCTGCCTTGAATGGAATGGAGTGGACGACGTAATCTTCTGACAAGCTACTCAGGATAAATGAAGAATTGCTTTCTGTGTTGTCATCGCCCTACTCTGCATATTTGTTTGTGTGACTGCTGGAGCTGGAAAATTACTATGTTTGGCATCATTTCTCCAGGGCGGTAATTTTGTTTTGTGAAAGTGACATTTACCTACAATGTGTTTTTTGTGCGATTTTGCGTGGGGCGTTCGGTCAAATGGTTTGGTGACTGTGTGTGTGGCTGCACGTTTTCCATGCATTTGTGTTCGTCCTCACTCACAGGTCAATCCACTAATAGTGTGTCGGAACGGGCTGTGAAGCAGACTTCATGGTTCGCTGTCATCAAAGTGCAGAGCTGCGGTACTCTCCTCTCTAATGGGTTTGCAGCTTTATGGATAATGTGCCTCAGCAAATTGTAAAATGGTTATGATAATGCTTAGATCACAAAATGTGTGACCGTGTGTCTACATGTGTAGGTGTTACTCAAATGTCATATGATTTTTATTTGTATTTCCTGCTATTAAGAGTTTCATTCTGTCCTGCTCTCTGTTCATGCATAATCCAGCGTTGCTATTATAAATACATGTCTGGGTATTATTTCAAATTGCTTTGGAAAATGAAAGGATGTCAAATGTCACTAAAACATCTGGGACAATGTGAGCAAATCCTTTTATAAACAAGCATTGGACATGCATACGGAGAATTGGATGATGCATTTAGCCACAACATCTGCATTTCACTGCATTATATAGTCTCGTAATACAATATGATAATGAAGGGAAAAGATGGTTTTGGGTAAAGATACAAGAGGATAGAAGATCCAATAAAAAAAACAAGATTTCTGTTCCCTGAGGAGTGCGATATTTAAAAATTGTTTACACATTTATGTCTGACGAGCTATTAAAGGCAGTTCAGGCGTCTGAATACCAATGATTATAATGTCTGATAAAAATGTGCAAGTGGATAAAAAATTCCTCCTCATAATATCCCAGTCTTTAAGTCTTCATTTCCGCCCGTGCACATGCCTTATATAAAGAATATCCCCGCTTTAAATATTAACTGATTAAATTGCGGATGGAGCTTCAAAGGTTCCGTCCTGCATTTTTAAACAGTATTTTTTTCTCTCTCTGCTGTAATGTGAGATCCAGTGGATGGATCATTTCTGTGGAAATTTGGCTTCGAGCTAATTTTGAGGAGGTCTTAGTTCTATTTTTAGTGACACACCTGTATGCATAAA